GGTCCTTATCTTTTTTGCCCCAAGTATGGATGAAATGGTTAGGAATATGGAGTTAGAGTTTCATAGTGTATGCTGTTCATTGTTAATATCATCTTGATTGATGAAAGCAAAAACAGGAATTAACATAAGGTTGGAATTTGAGGAAAATCATTGAATGAAGGAAGTTTAAAATATGAAGGAGTAAGACCTTATAAGAGTTTGGATATGGTTTGGCTGATAGATTTAAAATAGTAAGACCGAAGTGGAGAGGTACTTCTTGCATATTATACGATCTAAGGTGCACTAAAAACTAGAAGGAAAGTTTGATAGATGGCTATACGACCAGCCATGCTTTTGCAGTACAGAAGGGTAGACAATTAAAGAAAATGACTCTAGATGAATTGAGAATGCTTAGATAGAGGCGTGGCAAGATAAGAAAAGATAGAATTGGAAATTGTGAGGTGATAGGAGCAGGACAAATTGAAGACAAATTGAGATGTAACTAATTAACTTGGTTTGGACATATGCTACAAAGACCACTCGGGACATCAAAGAGGAAAAATAGAACAGAGAGTTTTTGACATAATCCAACAATGCAAAAGATTCATGTAGCCTATCCGAGTAATTGAGACACGGCATTTTTTAGTTTGGCTTATGGCTACTTATCGAAGCATAAAGAATATTGCTGTATAATGGTTTGCCTAACACCCAGTTTTTGTGTCAGTGTTTTGAAGTCTTATCAGTTTCCCTTTTTGTTCGTGTCTTTTTCTCAAATTCAAGTTTCTTATAGATTCAAATTATATGCCTTTTTCTTTGTGCTAATTATGAGTCCAAAATTCATTACCTTAAAGTACTTTTCTGGTTCCTGATCTTAAGAAACTTGAAAATCTGGAGTATCTGTGGTATCTTCTAATTCTGGAGTGTTCTATTTGGTATTAATGAATACATTGGTGGGCATCTTAGTAATGCATTAAAGCAAATACTTTCTAACCATCCATTAGTTGGTTGTAATCATCTGAATGGTTCTTTGTGGGCTGTTGGTTTATATATGTCAACCTATAGAAACACTAAGTGCACCTCTTGTTAATGCAGGGAGCTTTACAAAAATAACATTCAAGGGCCAATCTCCAGCGAGCTTGGTAATTTGAAGAACCTAATAAGCTTGGATATGTACGACAACAATATCTCGGGGACCATTCCTCCATCCCTGGGGAAGCTGAAATCTCTTGTTTTTTTGTGCGTTTGACCATATACTATGGTTAAATTTCAGTAGGGGATTCAAGAACAAGTATGCTAGCTACTGTAAAAGAGAATAACTAACATATTGGTATGACTATGTTTTGATATGCATGAGACAAAAGTATGCTAGCATGCACACTGCACACACTTTGATTCACATCTCCTCCTATTGATTAGGAGCAAAGATCAAAATTTCGTTTCGAAACGGTCGAAATGTCCGAAACATTTATATTTCTAAGGAGACCGAAACGAATCAGTGATGAAATTAAAATTCTAATACTTCGAAGTGTATCATAATGTTTCGATGTATTTTGTAATATTTCAATGTATTTGCACAATTGTTTCGGAATATTTCAAGATATATTTTGACCAATGTTTGTGAAAAACAATTCTGAACTTTTTTATTTTATTTCATTCTGTTTCCGAAAAAGATCGAAACGTTTTCGTTTCTTAGGTGACCGAAGTAATGCACTGAAACGAAATTTTGATCCATGATCAGGAGCTATTGATCGGTAGTTTTTGTCGGGCGGCTTAATGATAGTCAGTTAACTGGGCGAATTCCTCGGGAACTTGCTGATATTTCCAGCCTAAAAGTTGAGTAAATTGCTCTACCGATTGTTTACTTTTGAGTTAGTACTACATTCATGTAGGCTAGATTACAAAAAATCTGTATGTCTTTTCCAGGGATGTCTCAAACAACAATTTGTGTGGAACAATTCCTACTTTGGGTCCATTTGAACACATCCCACTAAGCAAGTGAGGTTCCCTTGATTTATATCCTCTTCCATTTTATGTTATTCCTTTTCTAGCCCCCACATCCAGTTGAATCAGAGATGAGGTTGTTACTCTTGCGTTGAAAAATGGACATGGGATATTGGAATGCTATCTTCCCCACTATGTTGTTGTAGTTCATGTTTATTAATACATTAATCTGATGAACCTTGCATATTGTGCCTTGGATTTTGTGACTTCATAGCTATTTTAATTTAGATGCTGCACATTTGTTATAGTGATATGGGACATCCAATAAGGGTCAACTAAAGTTCTGATAGATTGTTTACAGGTTCACATAATTGGAACTTATGTTGACTGCTCATTTATTCTGTTGATAAATCTGATCTATATGTTGTCCTACTAAATGCAATATTTGACAATGTTTTCTTTTTGGGTTAATAGCACTTGATGATGTTAACATAGTTGTAATCAAGAGAATAATCAAAATCAAAGAAAGTTGTGGCCGGTTAATTTCCAAAAGGAAATTGGGTTTGATGTAGGACAGCAGTGGACCCAAAAATTAGCACTGTTCAAGGCTGTGAACAATACCCGCAAACAGTATTTTTGGTGTAGGATGTGTTATTTTATGGTTATGGTTTGATAGATTATTTGGTAAAGGGGTAGAGTTTTGTAGACCCCTTTTAAGGATATAAAGAATAAAATTTCAGATATGATCATGGGTTTAGAACTTGAATAATTGCAAAAAAATAGAAGAAAGAAGAAGAGACCTAGGAATCACTCCTAGGGTTTGATGAATCACATCACACCTAGGGTTTGATGAATTGCATCACACAATCCCATAGCATATAATTGCCAAAAATTTCTGACAAATATCTCTCTCCCCCTTAAATTAAAGCATTACATCTCTAATAGAACTCTAAATATTCGCTAATCCTAAAAGGATTAGAACTTCAAAGACTCTAGGACTTCAAAGACCCTAAAACTCAATAAGACTCGAGTAAAAGTATGCAAGGTTCAGTATGAGTCTTTGTCTTGATGGCACGCCAAATTTCATAGTTCTTCATGTCTTTGAATTTATCTTTTATCGAACATCTTATGGATTGCATCATTCTCCTTTAAATGGAAAAAACTCGACCTCGAGTTTTGAAGTGTTGGAAGTATGGAAGTCCATAAACTTAGATCTAGCATTTGTGGTAGTCTTCGAGGAATCTGAATACGGTGCTTCATTTTCTTCTTGAATTGAGGAAATAAAGAAAAAATTTAGAGATCGATTTTCTCAATTCGGTTGTTAAACTTTTTTGGAATCACAAAATCAATTAATGGAGTAAAGTGAATAGAAAGAACATCTTTGAATTGACATTGAACATTACGACTTGTAGTGTGCCTTTCAATTGAAGCCTTCCCATTATTTATGGTGATATCTTTTGCTATAACCTCGAACTCCTTTTGATCGTTGTTAGAATATGATAGCATTGGTGGATTTTTAGGCTCACTTAAATTCTTGGAAGATGCAAACAAATCAAGCCCTTGAGACATTGTTGTTGCCAATCGAAAGTCATCAATGTAAGGAATTTCATTAGGCAACTCTTTTGGCACTATTTTGGAGCACTTAGCAAACACCTTAGTCATGTCTAAGGCAACTTGGATTCCGTGCCAACTGCTTTTCAATATTCTCAGGCTTCACAACATAATTATTTTCAGAATACTCAATTTTCTCCGTAGTCTTTGGACAAATAATTAATGATCTGGCCAGAGATTGTGTAGACTCATCTATAGGATCTCCTCCACCCCGAATTATTGCATTGCTTGTTATTTTGGGCTGCCTTTAATGAACCTTCTTTGACTGCACATTAGGATGTAAAGAACTTTGAGTTTTAGCCCAATTTGAGGAAGAAACCCTTGGTGTATTTCCTCAATTATTAAAACTTAGGTACATCTCCGAACCAAGTGCCAATTGGAATGCATGCTCCAAGCTATACAGTGGCTGCCATTGCAATTCTGCCCTTATATCAGCACTTAAACTAGCCCTGAATCAAGCAAGTGTTTGACGAGGATCTTCAACAATCTGGCTTTTCAACATTAGTGATGGGGATCGTGTAGGAATTATATAGATATTATAGATTAATTACGAAAGTTATTTAGATACATTTAATATTTATCTTTTAAGTAATTTCTTTTAACTTATGAGGGCTTATTTGTCATTATTTATTTCTTTTAGGATTTTAGTTTCCCTATATAAAGGGATGCATGCAAGGGTTTTATTTAGACTAGACTTTGATTATTATTGAATACTGATATTGCTTCTTTCTCAAAATTCTTTCTCTTTTATCATCCCTTTTTTCTTCTCTTCTCATTCCTAATTCTTTACTTTCTAATCTACATTAATTTAATATCAGAGTTAATAAGATGTATATCAATTAGTTCTTCAAATCTTTGAATGTAGTCCATCACAAATCTGTTGCCTTGTTTTAGATTAATTAGTTTTTTGCACAACTTACTGTAATAATTTGATTTCATATACTTCTCTTGAGACTTAGCTTTCATCTCTTCCCATGTGTTGATTGATGGCAATCCCAATCTTCTTTGATCTTCTTCTACATCAAACCACTAAATTTTTGTCAACCGTACAAGTTTTATCTTCACACATCTGCTCATTTATTCTGATGGGAAAGAGTAATAAAATTTATGACAAAAAAATAATAAAAAACCCTCTCTTTTTCTCCGCCTACATCTATCTTCCTCTCCACCCTACCCCCCTTGTTTGTTTTTTTGTCCTACTCCCTTCCCCAAATCGACCATCATCCCATCGTCAAAACCCACCCCAACACAAATCTCAGTGCCCCACCTCCACCCTCTACCACCGCTGCAAGGGTACCTTCACCCCCAAATTCCATTCCCATCAGACACATAAATGGAGCTCACTGGTTTTTTTAGTAATCCAACTCTCAGTTTCTATTCTCTCCTCTATGTGTGTGTGGTTCTCCACAAGATTTTGATTTCAATGTTGAATTTCGATCTTGGTAATGATTTTGGTTTTGTTTTTTATGTTAGTTTCTATGGTCGTGATTTTGATTTTGATTCGTGTTAGATTTGGATTTGATGTTATGGTTTCCATTTTGATTTTGTTCCATATGTGGGAGGTGATTTGAGTTTGAATTGGGTTGAATTTTTGTGCATTGGTGATGACAATTAATTGTATTGGGTTGTAGGTGATGGTCAGGCGGTGGACTATTGGTGTGTTCATGTGTAATTGTGTGTTGTTTGCATAGAGAGAGGGAGTTATTGAGAGAAGTGGTGGGTTTTAATGCATGTAGTGCATTATTGGGTATGTTGTGTGTGGCACACACAGAGAGAGAGAGAGAGAGAGAGCAAAGAGAATGAATCGGAGCATGAACAAGAATAAAAATAATCGAGAGAGAAACAGAGACAATTTTCTTAAGAGAGACGGTGTGTGAAGTTGCTCCATTATCCGAAGTTGCAGCAGATCTACACAACACTAATGCTTCTAATGTGCCTACCTGAGCATGCGAATACTTTGTGGACAACTGCTTCACATCAAACGGAACCCCACCAATTTCTCCCATGGGCTTGTCTTCATAGCCTCCTAAACGACGAAGAGATAAAAGCCCTTGTTTAGTATTAGGCTTGGAGACTAATTGTATGTAGATAACAATGTAGTATGAATAGTAGGAGTGTGTGTTTGTGTGTAGAAAGAGGGAGACAAAGATCAGTGATGGTGGGTGATCAGTTACTTTGGGGGTTTTTTGTATGATTTTTATAGGTGATAGTTGAATTTGATTTTTTTTTTTGATTTTACGGGTGATTGAATTGTTTGATTCCAATTGTTAACTAGTTTGATTTAATGTGAATCGAGTGTAATTTTGCCAAGGATCGAAATATCGTTTCGTAGTAACGTAGTACCGTTTCGATTAGCTTGAAAACGGAAAATATTTCGGAAACGCAGATAAAATATGGAAATATGTGGAAATACAAATACAATATATTTATTTATGAAGATAAGCTTAATAATAATTGAGCATATTTTTTGGGTTAACATCTATTTACACAAAGATAACATGAAGTTGGAGGGGGGAAAAAAGGCTTGACATGAGGCAGAAATCACTTCAATTAGTTTCTAACACTTGTGGTGTATTTGGTAATGTTTTTGTTTGTTTTGTGATAAAAAGTAAAAAATATAAAACATGTTTTTTAGTCATTTATATATAAAAAAATTATGAAAACAAAAGTAAAAAGCATGCTTGGTATTATACCGAAAACTCACCACCTAACACCACCAAAGCCCATCATCACCAGCCACCAAAACCACCACCCAACCCCCGAAAATCCACCATCCAACACCTATGAAGCATAGACACTCTTAAGAAGAAGATGTATTCGTGTCAGACACCGATATTTTTTGGACATTCTCGGACACGTATTTGATACTCTTTTACTTGTGTCCATACTTAAATTATGAAATTTTAATTTCGGACACGTGTTCAACACTTCGTTGGTGGCGTGTTTGACACTAGTTTACACCATAAACAATAAATTGTATTGACAAGTGACCAACAAAACTTACAAATTTGACTAATAGGTGTCTTATATTATGAGAGAACATGTAATTATCAATACTAGACATATTAAAATTGTAATCAAAATATAGTAAAAGATCCATAAAATTCTAAAAAAGAGGAATTGAGAAAATAAAAGTAATCATTTAAATTATATATGTTGGATACACGTTGTCTACAAAAAAAATTGATGATTAACTATTATGATGCTTTAGTCTAGAAATTCATACTAGATGACTAAACATAACATTTACAATTTTTCATGAATAATATATCATTTTTACTATATTTACAATAAATTATATAATTTTATATATAAAACACAATTATCTGTAGCGTGTCCTCAACGTATTCGTGTCCTACTTTTTTAAGAAATATCGTGTCTACATGTCCGTGTCGTGTTGTACTTGTGACCTGTGTCTGTGTCTATGCTTCTTACCCCAACACCATTGAAACCCACCACCACCAACCACTGAAAACCCACCTCCCAACCCACTGAAAATCCACCTCACCCTTGCAAAACCCACCACCCAATACCCTTGAAAATCCACCACCCAACCACAAAAAAAAAATCAAATAGAGGCGAGAAAGGGGCCAACGAGACAAAGAGAGAGAGAAATAAACAGCGGTGAGAGACGAAGGCCGGAAAAGGAGGGGGAGGGCTCAACTCATTTTTTTGTTGCCAAAGAGGATTGAAGTCAGGATCTTATTAATCCCACTGAAGCCCCTGCGTGTTTTTGTTTTTTTGGGTGTCTAAGAAAATGCTTTTTTTTGTGTCTTCATCTTTTGGCCTTATTTTTAAATCAGAGTTCCTAAAAAAAAAAATAGAAACACATTTTTATTTTTTGAAAAAAAGTGAAAAAAAAACAAAACAAAACAAAAGCAACAGGTTATCAAGTGCAACCTTAATTTTCATTAAGCAAATACATGTTTACATAATATTCTTGAGGTCAAGGGTTCAAGTTCCCACTCTCCCCTGTCTCCTCCCAAAAAAAAGAAAAAAAAAAACATGAAAAAAAAACATAGTATTAAGGTCTCATAATACAAATGAAGTATGTACATGCTATTATAATACTAATTTACTAATTTAAATTGTGTCATCAAATTAATAAGTTATATTATTTCAGTAATATAAAAATCATTGCATAAAAAATTTCTACGCACATAAAAATTTAATTCTAGATATTTAACAAACAAGGTATATACCATAAAATAAATTGCAGCTATTTAATATACTAATTTAGCAAATAATAATAACATACAAGAATAATTGGAAAAAAGACAAAAAAATGGGGGGATTATAACAAGGGTTATTTGATAAAAGAAAAGGGGGTTATTAAGTTAATAATCACTTATAAGTTAGAAAAAAAAACAAGGATAAAAGGAAAAAAGAAGAAGAGGGCTACAGTTTTATAAGAGACGTTGAGCATCAGTTTGCAGAGAGAGAGAGAGAGAGAGAGAGAGAGAGGATCTGCTTAGTTTCGTCGATGACGACCCAACAAAAAGGACCCAAGCCCAACAGAGAAGAAGGAAGATACTTGGAGCCTTTGATCTGGACCGTAGGAAGTGGAGGGAGGCTTAGATCTGAACTTGGGGAGGTAAGCTACTGAACTTTTTTCCATCTATTTCTTCTAGATGTGTTCCATCTCTCCCTTTTTCTCGTCTGTTACTCTTGTTTTGCACCTTTGCTGAAGATATTCCCTCTTATCTGTCTTGCCTTTTTTCTTTATTGGCTTGGAGGAGCCCATTATTTCTGAGTAGAATCTCAGATTTGTGATAGTTTGTGTTTGATGTGGATTGTAATCAAATCAAGCCACCGTTTTGATCGAAACGGTCCGAAACAGTAACGTTTCGATCGAAACTCTAGAATTTTGAAATTCCATCCCTATTTGGTGTTGGTGTGTTGAAAACCCGAAACATTTTGGACGTTTTGACACGAGATTTCGATTCTTGAATTTTGGTTACATTTGGATTATGTTTTTCTTGATTTTTAGTCAAATTGTGTTATGTATTGGGTTGAAAATGGTTTTTTTTTTCCAGTTGAATTATCATTTTGGTTAGTCATGATTGAATCTGAGTCAAATTGAAATGGGTGCTATTGAATGAGAATTGAGTTAAAATTTTAGGTTAGTTTGGATTTCTTATAATTTTACAATGTTAACTAGAATTATTGGATGTGTGTATTACTTCAACCTTGGGTTAATGTTTTTGATGATGGTGCTTGGTGGAGCCTTTGGTGGTGGAAGGGGGTGGTCATGGGTTGGTGAAGGGGTGGGTATTGATGAGTTTGTGGTTTGTGAGAGAAGAAATAGAAAAGAATGAACAAGAAAGAGGGGTGTTTGGAAGTTTTAGTGGAGGGCAAAATAGGTATTTAAGAGTCATATTTGCTGACATAAGCACTTTTTAATCATGTCAGTAATGGTTCTAATGACAAAGGTGGTATGTGAAATGAGCAAATAAACTACAAAGGAGGGCATTGATATTTCAGGTAATAGAAGGGGTGTCTTTGTAATTATACCAATCTATAGGAGGTGTCATTGTAATTTACCCATAATTTTCATTGATTTGATTTAAAAATCTTCGTTTCTATTTGAGTTATAAATTCAAAAATAATTTGTTAACCATTTAAAAAGGTAGTGACTCCTTGGGAATCAATCGTAATTGGTTCTAATAGAGCCAGAAATGGTGTGTACTCAAAATAAAATTTTGAGTCAAAGTTTTTAATTAGAATAAAAGATGATGAAATACATAATACTTGATTATAAATTTGCTGATCATTATTACTGGTAACTATAAATTTTTAATAAGAATTAATGTCTCAAGCATATATTGGTGTTCTATGCAAAACCTGATAAATATGGTATCCAGAAAAGCCATCAATGTTCCATTCATAAATAACTTTTCTGCCATATTCCCATTGACTGGTGAAGAAATTTTCTTCATACAGAAGATCCCAAGAGGTATGCATAGGATAATAAGATCTTGTAGGGGCTATACTAGATCTTAATTTAGGTTTAAATTCTACTTTATTAATTTCAGAATTATGCTGCATATTATGCGATGAGGTTTGAAATTGCTAAATTTCTAAAAGTTTTGGGGATTCAGATTGTTCAGTTTCAGACCTATCTTCAACTTGAGACAACATTATTTTACCACTATCATTGGGTTCACTAGTGAGGGGTTGTTTTTGCATTATAGAAGCTTTAATTGTAAGACCTGTTAGTCTACATGCAAGGCATTGATGAGTTCATCATCAAATTTTCTAAGATTTAATTTAAATCCTGTGGAATCTGGTGGGTTTTAATATTTACTTCTTCTAAACCAAAGGGTTTTAGAGAAATAATCTTATTAGCCTAAATATTTTTAGGAAGATTTTCCATTGAAGTCTTTATTCTTGTTAATTGTTTACTAATAGTTTGTAGACAAACATTTTGTATAATTATTTTGTTTGATGATCTTATTAAGATCCTCCTCCTTTGAATTTGGAGTGATATAAACAAATGCTTTTAAAATTGGTTTACTACAATCCTCATAATTAATTAATCTAAGAGGAACATTTTTTCTTTTTGGGGGTGGGGTTGATTGATTTGATGGTTTTGTGATCATCGGTGTTCCATTTTTCATGGAATTGCTTAAGAGTATTAATATGATCAGGTCTAGGATTATTGTAAAATGATAAAAACCCATTTACAAAGGGAATAATTTCATTTGTTAATTCTATTTGATTATAGATTGATTTTTATAATATTGTAATTCTTTTTCATTAAAAGAGGAAAATACCATGCTCTAAATTCTCATATTTAGAGGAATTGAATTATTCAGCTATTAGTTTTTTGTCAACGGTAAAAGATTTTGTATGAAGACTCATCATAATGAAAATTCCATTTCGGATGCAGTAGGATCAAATTCCGCCTGAGGAATAGACTTATTAGGCTCTGTTTGATTAAGATGATAAATACCATAAGGAATGTTTTGTGTCGATTATTGAACTCCTTCAATAATCAAAGGTT